TCCTTTTATGCAAGGTTGGGGTAGTAGGATGAAGTGGAGGGGGTCTTTCTGTAACAATGGGGTCTGCTGGCCTGGCAATGGATGTGGGGCATTGCCCCTCTCTGAGCAGTTCTCTGGGAGGCAGGGGGAGCCCATGCCCAAAAGAAGGGCGCAGTCCCTTAGCTTCTTACATTGGAGTGAGGTGTCTTCTCTTTGTCTTGGCAGCACCCATCCCCTCTCCTCTACCTCCATAGCGCCATACTCAGGTGCTTTTCCAGGGGCCTTGTGCTTGGCAGCCTTCGGCTTGTGTTGAGCAACCCTCTGTGCGCCCCATAAACCGAAATAACAGGTATGCCACAACCTGCTTCTCCCTCACTTCCTGCCCCCTTCCCCCACACATACACATATATACTTCTGTGGATGAGAGGCTTTGGGTCCAGATGAGGTTTGTAGACTACCTGTCCCCACAAAGCAATGATTGGTGATGATGAGCCAACTGCTAATTACATTTTTGTATACATTCAAGATTTTTCTGATTCCTAATTGACTAGCTATCAGGAAGATATCAGGAAGAAATTCTTTATGGTGAGGGTTGCCAAAATATGGAATCGACTTTCAAGGGAGGTGGTGCTTTCCCCTACCTTGGAGGTGTTCAAGAAAAGATTAGACAGGCACCTGGCTGTGGTTATGTAGCCCCAGCACTCCTTCCTGCCTAGGGCGGGGGGTCAGATTTGATGATACAAGGTCCCTTCCAACCCTAGAAATCTATGAAATCTAGCTGCATGCATAAAGCCACGAGGGGAAGGCTGATACAGTGCTTAGGACACTAGTCTGGGTTTTGGGAGGTCCACGTTCTGGTGCCACAGCCTTTCTGTGTAAGCTTGCCATAATTTCCCAGCTATACAATGGGGCAGTAACTGCGCCCCACCTTAGAGGTGCCATGAGGAGAAGTATGTTCAGATACTGTAATGAAGGAGGTCCGTGTAAGGCTTTGTATGTATGCAGAAACATTGTCTGGTATACCATGAAGCATTTACACTGATAAAGTTATACTAGTTTAACATACTCTGACTTGACCTACCCTAAAAAGTTTTGTCAGCATAATTAAATTGGTTCTTGCAGAGTCATGTAATTTGGCACATGGGTCCAGAAATCTAGTGGTGGGGGTATTAACACTCCCTACTGCTTCCCCATGGCCAAATTTCCAAGATACAAGTGGTTCGATCAGCCCCATACAGAGGGACTGGGTCCCATTCCCACATGGTTGGATCAAGCTGAAGCCTGATGCAGCCACATGGTGCTCAACAGGGGCCCAATGCAGCTGTCTGCGGTCTGTCTAACTGCATTGGCCCTGGTTGAGCTGTTTCCACATGGCTGAACTGGGCTCGAACTGGGCTGACACTGCATGAAGCATCGGGCCCACAGACCAGATCCAGCCCGCAGTCTGACTTGGCATGTCTCATCTAGTCTGCATCCCAAAAAGGTCAGGCACCACTGGCTTATGTCATTCAGGGAGCTGGTTTAAATATCAGAAAAGAACTCCCTTTGCGGGTACAAGCTGTATTTCCACTTAAGGTTTTTTTCTGGCATAGCTGTAATAGCAAACCCTTGTTAGTGTGGACTGGATCTGAAGCCCCATCTGCACACCAGTTTTGTTCCAGGATAACTTGGTTATGGGTGTGGGTGCATGGTATGAGCCTGGGGCAAGAATTTACTGTGAATCATCTGTTCTATAATAACTGACCATGGGCATCCTGTACCTTTCAGTAAATGAATAATAAATAACCTGCAGTACCCTCATTCTTTTTTTTTCTTGGAGGGTTAAGCTCTTGAGTTATCTTTCATTTATTATGAGTAAATTGCATGCGGGCGGGTAAATTCCCTTTTATTCCAAGATATTTTTTTTCATGTATCCATATCCTCATGCTTGTACTGGGATACACATGCCATATATATCAATACTATTTATTGCCTTCTCATATAGCATTGAGGGCCTTTTTGCAGATGTATCACAAATTAGCCCCAAATCCTCCCCGACTGCCACTCTGATCCCCTTCCCTTGCCTGATATGTTGGTTTGCTTTCTGCTTCCTGCCCTATCCGCCACTTTGCTGCCTGTCCCCTTTCTGATCTGCTATATGTCAAACACTGACTGTCTGTGTTACTTGTGGCATGTGCCACAGGTTGGCCACCCTTATCATACAGGAATAGCAATCCTGGTATAAGCACACCAATGTCAGTATAACTGCCTGTAAGGGGATTTGACTACACTAGTAGAATTAAGGCAGTACAACTTACATGTATATAGGCAAAAGCCTTGCTCTGATATAAAAGTAGCCTGCTTTTGGTTGGTATATGTTGCTTGGGACATGCTATAAGGTAAAACAGATCCACCAGCCAAACAATGACTTCACACCTTGCTTCTACACCAGAGTAAGTCAGGGCTGACAAAACATATTTCTGATGCATGGGTATACTATATCAGGTAGGGAATGAGGTGAGGTTGGGACTTAAGACTGATGGCTGTGCGGCAAAAGCTCCTGCAGCTGATCCAATTAAGGCCAGCAACTCTGTGCTTTTGTTGGTATTGGTTGGGTCCACAGCAGGAGCACTTCACTGGTATTTTGTTCCAGTGTAGCTGTACAAGAAAGGTTTGCAGGTGCAGAAGCTCAGAGTCCATGAGAGGTGTTGCAACTGTGTTGGTATAGCTGACAGGGCATTTCCCAGGTGGAAAAGTCCTAGATAGCATAGACAAACCATTCTATCAGTGGTGCTCAACCTTTTGGCCCCATAGGCCAAATGAATGGCACAGGGCTTGTCTTCAAACCATATCAGACCCCACATCCCAGGATCAGGCCTGCGCACTTGGATCTGGACTGCACTGTCCCCATCTGGCCCTGCATGCCAGGATGAGGGTCTAGACTGTATGCTGCCCCCACCAGGCCCCATGTGCCAGGTTTAGGGCTTGGGGCCCTGTGCCGCCCCCACCCAGCCTCACAGATGGGAACTGGACTCCAGGGCCCTGTGATACCTCTGCTCAGTGCCTTGTGCTGGGATGAGGACCCCAGAACTCATGCTACTCCTGGTGGGCCCCACATACCAGAATCAGGACCCTGCACCACTTCTGCCTGGCTCCATGTGCTGGCATCAAGCTTTGTGCACCAGATCTAGCACACAGGGCCACAGCCTGTGGGGCTCCCCACATACCTGTGGGGAGCCCCATGGGTCGGATGGTGAGATGGCAGGGGCTGGACCTGGCCTGTAGCCAGGGGTTGAACACCGATTCTCCAAAACATCTGCTTCCTACAATTGGGTGAGAGGCTCTATCACAGTCTGTGAGCAGTCTAGTCCCCAGCCGTTTAAACCAGCCTGGTTAGAGCCCCTAACTGGCAGTGACAGGCAGCATGCAGAACTATCTGGGGAAGGAATACTACATTGCCGTTCATTATAATGTTTCTCCCAGAGGCCTTGTACTCTGCTTCCGCTCCTGGCTAAAATTATCCATAATGTTGTCTCAGAAGAAAGAGCGTGTGCATAGACAATAGCTGAATGTGCTCATGAATGACTTTTCAGTGTACCAGGGGTGCAGCGGGTTGGAATTGGGGGTGAGTGGTGTCTAGGCAGAAGCTGGCATAGACTAGAAGCAGCAACATAGCCCTGTCAGTTGCATCTGTCGAGGGGTGCTGTCCTAAAGAAAGCAGACCACGTTCCCAAAACTGCCTTCTGTTTGCAGGAGGGGTTGTCTTCCGGCTCTGAAGGGAAGGGGGCAGGGACATGTGCTCTCCTGCAGCTGCTGGCTCCAAGATCCTGTACCGGAACTCGCGCCTCCTCCGCATGGCTTTCCTGCAGCTCCATCGCCAGCAGAGGGCAGATGTGTTCTGCGACGTCATCCTGCAGGCAGAAGGTAATCAGCACTGAGCCAGGTGGGCTTAAACAAGAGTGGTGGGCTGGTACCAAGGTCCATGGTTGCAGTGTCTGCAGTGCTGGTCATGTGAGTTGATAGACCTTTCCATAGGATTTTATCTGCACGTATTTACTAATGGGCTTTTGTTTTGTTTTATTTTAACGTTGGGGCACCGCTAAGCATGTGTTGTACTGCTGTGCTGTCTGTGGGGCCTGCATCATTGGGAATGGTGATACTGATGTGGGCTTGCCAGTCAGTTGGCCCTGATTGTTTGGGGATTGTAATTAGAAAAGTGGAAGTGGCTCCACAGCGGTTTCACAGCAGCTCTCCTATGTGGTGCTGGGTTACTGTCTGGTAGCAGGCACCTGGAAATTAGCTGTGCATCCTCTTTGCTTGGAACATTGTGACCCCTCTTCATGTGAGTTTTGTCCAACTCAAGCATGTTCTTCTTGTCTTTGAAACTCTCTGACTCATTAATTCAGCTGATTTTGGATGGTTCCTGATTTGTTCTGCATGAGGATGATTCCCACTTGTATTTTGCAAGTGGTTTTTTGCTCTGCTGAAACTTAATGGTGGTGGTGGAAGATTGGAAGCAAGCGCTTCCTATTCAGCTGTAAGCAAGTTCCCCACTGCTTTGTAAAGTTTTAATTCTTTTGAATTTAAAGTTGGCTGTCTAATGCCAAGAGTAAATGCGGAGAAATGTGGGGTGGAGCACCCTTTGTAGAAGACAGCGCCCTGTGGAATTATTTCAATAGCAAACTTGTGCAGAGGACTCATACAGAAGGTGAGTCAACATGTGGCTCAAGTTACCAATGGTAAAGTGGGCACATGTTTGAGGAACATTTCTCTAGCTTGTTCATACTGTATGTTGTTCATCTGTGGGTATAAAGAGAGCTTTTAAGTCCTGCAGGCCAGCTGGTTTACACAAATATTGCCTGTCAGTCTTGCACTGATATAAACATTTGCTTCCATGTGCCAGATCATCTTTCTTGTGCTCTTTCTTGGAAGGGGAAATGTAAATGCAATCAGGATATTTCCTCTGTTAAGGCAGTCTTGAATGGTTAAAAATCTAGGAGTGTTGCACCTTCCTCTGTGCTTTTCCTCTCTCTCCACCCAGGCCTATCTTTATTGGGAGTATGCTGTATTGCAGCAGGGGAATTTTGGCCCAAGCACCAGCTTCCTTGCTGCTGACTTCCTTAAGAGCCAAACAGGGATGCAGCCTAAATGACTGCCTCCACAGCCTTCTGAGCTAATGCTTGCCTAAGTCTGCTATAAGCAGCGCTGCTCGGGGGTGGGAATGTTCAAAGCTGGG